ATAACCATCTCCAGAGCAGGCACCGACGCAAAGACCTTGCCAGGTCAACTGTCAACGCCACCATGGCGCCAGACAGCGCCACCGCCTTGCAGAGCGGAAAGATACCCCAGTTGTGTATGTGACTAGCGCAAGCCTACAAAATTGTAGCTATACACGTGCGAGATCTCAGCATGTACAAACTGTACCAACTTGTTTGTGATTTTGTTCTTGCTTTGCCCACAGGAGAACATTAACTAAACAATACATTTCGTGTGGTGGAGACTGATGGCGTGGTTCGCTTCAACGGGCAAATCATGAGACGTAGTACAATGATGAAGATGTTGGAAGCCTGTCAATGCTGAAGATGTGCAAATACCATGATGGATGTGTAGCGAGCTTGTGAAGGAATTGCCCTGTTTTCCTTTGGGCATGTGCGATATTGTACTATCAAATTTCCTTTTGCTTATTTCTGAATATGCGTCAGAAGGCTTCGCTGCACAGAACCTCCTGCCCGTGTGGTACTGTGTCACTTATGTATTCCTGAACTCGAGTCTGGCCCTGCGTGGCATGGTTTCGTTTCAATTTAACCAATGGATTTCGTTTTGGCAATTGGCATGATTTTATTCTTTGAATGGAAGTGATGAAGTTCGTTTCGTTTTGTTTCTGAACTTGGGCCTGAGTTTTTGCCACACTGAACCTCTGTACGGTGTAAGCCGCATCGCCGAACTGTATACATCATGACTACTGTAGGGAGCGGTGGACCATGACTATGACTGTAACCTAACACAGCTATTGAGTGAACACGGCGAACATGTGCACAATGCGATTAAGGTCGTTCTTGCCGAGTTGGGCGAAGGATGGAAGAGCCGCTCAACTGCATTTTGAAGCAGGTATCTGTTGGTGAAGTGTGAAAATATGAAGGGCAGTCTCTGTTCCCTGCTGCAACGAAGCTGAAAGAAGATTGAGGAATGCGATGCCATAGCAATCCTTCATAGCAATTAATACTTACTATTAATTTAATAGTGCAATGCAATGCTCTTGAGTATTATGTTTTCTGAACTTGATTAGTGCAATGCAGTGCATGATTGAGGTGTGAAACGTTTGCCCATCTTAATGAGACAGCATTGATTTTCACTGTTTGGGAGCTTTTCTTTGTCGAACTCCCTAGCTGAGAGACTGCACAATTCAATCGGGACTTCAGACATTACAGCTGAAAGCACGCTTTTGAAATTCTGATAGTGCATTTGAATTCTGGGGGGTTGAAACAGATCGACAAAGGCAATGTGGATAGTGGCTGTCTGCATCTGCTCAGCAATGTGGAGGTGTGCTCTGCTTGCTCTGTAGCTAGCCCCAAGGTTGTGCCTGCTTGATTGATTTCTCAAAGTTTACTATACTGTTTTGGTTTGTCAACTATATAATGACGCGCAAGAAAAAAAACTGTATCGGTAACATGTCTCGCTGATGGTAATCTACGGTGTACTTCGCTGGAGAGTGAGTTACAGATCTGTCTGTCTTTTCTTTTGAGGGACAGGCCTGTCTGTCGTGCGGTGGAGACAGGACGATCCAACAATGTGGAAGGGCCAGTTGGGAAGTCACACGGCTTCTCAACTCGCTTCCATGCCGCGCCCCAGCTGCTCGGGACGGCTGCAAAGACAATATCTCTCGCCTATTACTACATATATACACAGCACTCTACTTCCGTGCCCTGATGTGGGCTAGTTAGTGAAAATGATGATGCAGTTTTATCAGAGCTTTTTTAGACCGAGTTTGTATGTCCGTTTTCTTGACCAGCAGTGGAAGGCAAACGTGGTTTTCCTGCATTTTTTGGGACCGTGTTTTTTCATTTTTCTTTTCTTTGAGGTTTTTGTCCAATTTCCTTTCTATGCTGTTTATTTTTTTTATTTCTCTATTTTCAGACCATTTCGATTTCTTATGTTTTCTTTTCTATTTTTTCCCTTTTCTTTTTTATGTTTCTTTCTCGGTTTTCTTTGTTTTGGTTTACTGTTATGAAAAACACTTATGAAACATATTTAAACTGTGCAAACACTTTTAAATAATTACACAAAATCTTATTTCATAAGGCCTAATCATTTTTTACTTACATGAATATTTTGAATAATTACAAGAACATTTTTATAAATGTGCATAACATTTTTGTAGTTTCATGAACATGTTTCAAAGTACACATTTTTCACATTTTTCTGTTTTTGTCACTTTACCCTAAGAACATTTTTCTAAAACATGGCCTTTTAAAAAAAACTTGATGAATATTTCTTAGATATGATATGAACATTTTTTAGATGCACTACGAGCTTTTATTAAAAAACATGAAACATTTTTAATACATGATGAAAAATTAAAACACAATGAATAATTAATAATTACATAATAATTATTTTGAAAATACGTGTTGATTATTTTTCTGAGTCATGATGAACCTTTTTTTTAAAACACGCTCAACATTTTTTATAGCTCGTAACAAGCGAGTTTATAGAGGCTCCCCAGCTTCTGCGCGCTACATGGGCTGGCAGCCCAGCGGTGAGGAGTGCTGGCCTGGGCATCGCAGCTCGGGCCAGGGAAAAGGGGCCCAGGAGGAGAGGAAGGCGACGGGGTGACCACTGGACGGACGTCGGCGAGCTCGCCTCGCTGGGATCCGGCGAGAGTAGAGTAGATGGAGGCGACAGGGCGGCGGCTGGGCGTCCGCGTGCTCGCGCGGTCGCGCCTGAGAGGAGAGGCGGCCGAGAGGAGGAGGTGTGGCGGCTGGGCTCCGACTCCGACTGCCCGCACGTCATTGCTGTCATCGTCGCCGCCGTATCCTCTTGCTTGCACGCCCTCGCTGGAGAGAAGCAGAGGGTCAGGATGAGGGTGACATCCGGAACAGGAGTGGCCGCCACACCTCGCCGTCGTCGCCCTGACGGCGCAACCGCTCTCGTGCCGGGTCGCTCCTAGTACAATACTCTTGTCATGCTGGGCTACTCTTAATTGGGTGCCAGATCTGACTGAGACTAATTGACATTCGAGATGTGGGGAATCAAATCAATCCGCTTCGTTCTCGAGGTAACGTGACCTACACAGATTTCGCTAAATGGCCAGGCTCACTCAGCATCGTATGCATTGGGATTTAGGGCGGAGGGGATTTCTCTGCGCAAGAAAATTTGTACTGAGGTGAAATATCTATCTAAATGAGTTGGACAGATTTACTGAGATTGGAGGTAAACCAATTTAGAATGCTACTCCCTCCGTCCGAAAATACTTGTCACCAAAATGAATAAAAGTGGATGTATCAAGATGTATTTTAGTTCTAGATACATTCCTTTTTATCCATTTTGATGACAAGTATTTTCGGACGGAGGAGTACTCCCTCAATTTTAAAATAACCAAAGTTCTAGGGTAAGTTTGATCAAGTTTATAAAAAAAATCTGCAAAATACCTACAATATCAATATGTATAGTATGAAAATGTATTTCTAATGAAGCAAATTAGGTGTTGTAGAGACGGGAGAGAAAGGAATATAGACTTGGTCAAACTTAATGAAGTTCTTTTCAAACCGGGTTATCCCCCTTTCCATTACTGATAACGGAAATACAGTTCAGAAGTTTTGCAGGAGACGGGAGAGAAAGGAGAGCGAGTTCGGCACTACCAGGAAACCCACTGGACACGCTCGACTTCGAAATGTGCATAGTGATCACTGGACCCATTGGACGAAAGCTTAATGAAATTTGACTTAAGACAAACCTAATACTTCAACTATTTTGGAATGGAATGACTAATAAATTGCATAGTGATCACAATAAGTAGCTCGCCAGTCTCTTTCGCAATGACAAACGCAACTCGCCGCCTTTGTGGACTATGTTGCCTGGTTTTAGCCTGCATTTTTCTATGCAAGAAGAGGATGGGCGTATCCAATCAACGCTTCATTTCCTGTCTTGCTTATCTCTACTCTCCGGTACGCTGTCATAGGCTCTGGTAAGGCATCAGGATGAGAATTTGAAGACTCTGTTCTTTCTATTCACTCCGGTTAATCTGCGTATGGCTTGACTCAACTGGTATGTCACGGAACCTCATATACAACACAAGACCTTTTTTAATTTCAGCATCAGCAGAAGTTCCGCTCCTGTCTCAAACCAAGCAAGTTTCAAAATTACAGGTGTTCTTGCTTCAGTAAAGAAATACTGAAAGGGTGTTCAGTTTCTCTCAATGCAGAACATGTACACACAGAACAACGCGGCAGGCTTGGTGGTTGAGCTATTTTCAAACTTACTTTGGTGGCATGCTTTTAGCTTGTTAATTTTATCTTTACATGTCCTTGTGGAATCTCTTTGCAGATTAGCTTAAGCTATCGATTCATTGGCACGGACAAATGCTACTTGCTAGTTAATTAAGCAGTATGTGTTGACAATAAGAAGCCAATGGGCGAAGCAGCTAATGGGCACCTCGCCAATCTCTTGCTCACCTTCCCAGCTAATGCCATCCATCGTCTTCATGGACTCTGCTATCTACCCCACAGTTTTTACGCAAGCAGAGGGAGGAGAAATTGGATCTTTTGCCCCAGTTTACTTCTAACTTCAATAATTTGCCCCTTTCTATTCTGTCCGGTTAATCTGTGTATGGCTTGATTCAACTGGTATGTCATGGAACCTCATGTATAAATTGCAGTCATATACAACACAAGACCTTTTTTAATTTTCAGCATCAGAAAAAGTTCCGCTCCTGTCTCAAACCAAGCAAGTTTCAGAATTGCAGGTGTTCTTGCTTCAATAAAGAAATACTGAAAGGGTGTTCAGTTTCTCTCAATGCAGAACATGTACACATAGAACGGTGCGGCAGGCTTGGTCGTTGAGCTATTTTCAAACTTACTTTGGTGGCATGCTTTTAGCTTGTTAATTTTATCTTTACATGTCCTTGTGGAATCTCTTTGCAGATTAGCTTAAGCTATCGATTCATTGGCACGGACAAATGCTACTTGCTAGTTAATTAAGCAGTATGTGTTGACAATAAGAAGCCAGTGGGCAAAGCAGCTAATGGGCACCTTGTCAATCTCTTGCTCACCTTCCCAGCTAATGGCATCCTTCGTCTTCATGGACACTGCTATCTACCCAACAGTTTTTATGCAAGCAGAGGGAGGAGAAATTGGATCTTTTGCCACAGTTTACTTCTA